CGGGGCTGCGGGCGGGATGATGGAGCCGGGAGCAGCGCGGTGGCCGCGGCCATCCCAGCGCACGGCTGCAACGTGGAGGTAGCGCGTCCGTCTCCTCGGAAGACCGTAGGGGAAGCGATTTGTTTCTCCAGAAAGGTCAACTTTCCGCTCCGTCCCTTCAGGGCAGTTGGGAATGGAGGCCGTAGACCCGCGCTGTCTGTCCGGTTGGGACGTGCAGGATGCGGGGTCCGCCGCGAACCCGGAGCCGGGGCTGCGCCGGGCTGGGAGTGCGCGCTGCGCTCGGTCGTAAAGGGCAGCCGGAGGAGTGTAGAGCGTTACCTGTGCAGTGCCTAACTTGGTGCGGGAGCGAAGTTCCCTAGAACACTTCAACGGGTACTACTTTCATGGAGTCCTTTCGTGTTAGCAGTCACCTTTCCCATGACTGGGCAGGGCCGGGAGGGGTTCCTTGGCGCTGCACACTAGGTGATCTTAATGGTATTTTCCGACCTCAACGATTCTGTCGTCTGATTCTTTGACCCTTACCTTGCCGTGTCCGTGCTCAGAGCCCACAGGTGCGTGGCTGTGGGGTCTGATGCCCCGCAGTAAGGTGGCTTTGGTAGGAGCAGAGCGGCTGAGCTTTGCCAAGTGAATAGCTGGGTGGGCAGGTAGCAGCTGTAGGGCAGAGCCCCGCTGCCGAGCCGTCATCTTTGCCCGAGATGTAGCATGTAAAATAAATGTTTAACATCGCGAGCGGTGAAAAAGAGTTACTTTACAGTTCTCGGCAGTTGGTATTTGCCTTTCTCTGACTGCTCGTTTCCAGTGTCAGTGAGAAACTTAAATATGTATCGGTGCTTCCCTTCAGCAGCGCGATAAATCTGGCAAAAGCCAATAAAACATGCTGCAGTCAAATTCTTCCTGGAAAGATGCGTGATCCTTGGCTTAAATGGGAATAATCTCCGTGCTCAGATCAGTAGTCTCTGGATTTATAGATGAAAACAGTAGTCCTTTGTACGGCACATAGGAGTGCCACCTTCTCGCACCGCTAATACTTTCCATCGCAGTGCCGTGCTGTAGCCAGGGAATTAATGAAACCCTGTAAAAAAAGACAGCTGTGAAGTCTTCTGGCAATCGCTGTCATCTGCTGCTGAAAACATTTCTGATTTTCAATGAGCAGCAGTGTCTGTGCATGCAAACACTTTGAAACGCATTTATGTTAGGTTAGTGAAAGCCAAGCAACTGTATCGTGTTTATTTTGGCTTTTTGACAGCAGTCATACGGTGGTTGTAATAACCTTTTATTCATCTTAAAGCCAAAAGGTGAGAGGTATTACAGACTGCAGTGTTGGAGATGGATTATTCATTGCTTTATAAGACAGTACTTAATAAGCAGCTTGTTATTAAGTGTATGTAAGTATCTGTTTATTGCCACCTGATGAAACTTCTTATTCTTTGCACATCTGCATACTTGCATATCTTGTTTATGTTCTGCTTTCAAATAAATATGTGAGAAACAGAAGAAGCACAGCAGGAGTTTAGGAAGGGCTGCGCAGTTCAGTCTGAAGTTCTGGACTCTGGAACTTCGCAATGAATACACGAGAGTACCTGAATCTTACATATATGCAAAAAAATAGGGTGCAATCAGGATGAGTTAAAGAGATCTTGAATGGCTGCAACCTGTGTGAGGATGTTTTAGCGATTGTGCAACATTGTTCTCTACTCCCCCCACTGCTGGTGTTGCTCAGTGGGAAGAGAGAATAACCATGTTTTATCTAAACTGATGAAGTTGTAGCAAGAGAACTATAATTCAATTTGTGTGCTGTTTGGACTATCATCTCTCAGTTTCAGGTTTGCAGTCCTGTGTGCTGTTAGCTCTTCCATCAGTGACGAGAGGTGAATGTCTGTGCTTTTTACAAGAACAGAGAGGTTACATAGGCACAGTGTGACAGAATTGCCCACGTAAAAATTATCCTTGCTAATATGATGTAATTATCCTTTAATGAAGTGGCCCTGCTGCTCCCAAAGGATGTGTTAAGTGAGGACCGTGCTTTCATCCCCCTGACTTATTGGTGTATTTAGTGTGCTAGTCACACCAGCACCTAGGTGTCACCATTATCCAGCGTGTTCCTCTCATTTTCAGGCCCACTTTTAATTTCCTTTTCACCTTTGCAACTTTGCAAGGCAGGTTTAGGAAAAGGAAAACAAGCCCCATGAGCCCTTACTTGGGCACGTCTCACCAGGCTCCAGCTGCTGCTGGTCCGAGGGCTCGTGCTTCCCCTGTCCCTCTGCATCCTCCTGACTCGCAGGCTGCAAAGGGCTCTGCTTACCGGAGTTTGAAACTCTGGCAGACCTTGTGCTGCAGCTCTATTAAGGATGCTACAGCGTTCCCAGGCTTGGTGGAGACTGCGGGAACTGCTGAGTTGGCGCTTCCCTTCAGGAAGGCAGAGTCTCCCCCTGCCCGGCCCCCAGCTCGTGGTCAGATGGCCTTTGGAAGCAGTGGAGAGGCTTGCAGAGAGCAGGTGAGCTGCAGTCTCAGCTTCCTACTGCTTCTTGTGGGAACGAAGTAGCTGCAGCCCTCTTGTTTCCCGTGTGTCTGGGGCATTGCCCTGCCTCCTCACCTGCTCCAGCATCAGGCCTCAGTTCTTTTTTGGGAAGAGCACCAGGATGAAGGGAGGGATCTCTGGAGAAAGACACCCACCCCACCAGCTCAGCCCTTGGGACGTGTGGGTGAAGTGAGTGAAACCGTTCATTGCAAAATGGGCATCCCTGGGCGAATTATTTTAGGCAGTCATGATGTAAGAGCATTCTGTGTAGTCATTTGAGGTATCTGGCAGTAAAAATGTATGAAAACAGTCCAACATTTCTTTGGCAATGGAAATTTTATTTACAGTGTCTTAGGAAGATTGGTTATGTATTTTCTGGATGGTTAATAGGTGACATAATCTTACACTGTGCACATTAAATTCACTGATATCTGATTAAGCTTTATCATAAAAACAAAAATGCCAAAAAAATAATTGTCCGCGTGGTCTTGATGAGTGATTAGCCATAACAGTTTTCTGAATCTTAAATGACTCCCTTGTTCTTCTATTCAACACAGGCAGTAAGATTCCGGGTGCTGTATAGGTACATCATTGCCACGTGCTCAGTGGCTTTAAAATACTGTAATTGGGAATCAGTGCCTTTGAAAGCTCCCAGACCAAAAGCTGTGGATCCCCAAATGGCCTAGTTCATCCACAAAACAATCTGGAGCTGCCAAACTAAATTCACAGGGAAAATTAGGCAATTAGTTTCAGAGCTTTCTTGCGACTGCATGCCTAAGTTCTTACTCTGCTCTTTGCTACATGCTTTGGCACAGAAGCCAAGGATACACTTCCTACTGGGATACCTCAGAAGCACTGCGCATGGCATTTGAGATAAAAAGGAGGTGTGGAAAACCACCATCCCCAAAGTCCCTTGGTTGTTACCCTGTGCTGACACGAGGAGTGCCTGTGTGCAGCTCTGAGCTCAGTCCTGCGCCGCTCCCCGGCTGGGCCCGCCAGGCTGCTGCCAGGGAACCACTGGTCTGGAACGAACACTGAGGACTAGCAAACAGCAGACACAGCTCTGCAGGCCCAACTGTTGGTCTGCTGCTGCTGCCCGCTTACCTGAATCGTTAGGTCTCTCTGTCAACAGAGTAATTTGGCAGTGAATATGTTCCCTTGTTCTTTTTCATTGGGCTGCTATTGTGCAAGGAGGGGGCAAATGGTAACCAAATTTGGGGGGGGATTCAGTGTGTAAATGAAGCGTTTTCTTAAAAAATGCATTTTACTGTGCAGAATGCACATTTTTGCTTATGGTTACTCCTTTCGTTCTTCCTTGTAATTTTAGAGCAAAATGTAGAGATGTTATATACAGTAAGCTAGTGAGTACACAGACGTTGCTGGGCCAGCAAAGTATTCACATGGATCAAGTAAATAGCCTGTCTTCTAAGGCCAAAATGAAATCCTGCTAAGAAAACACTTCACTATTCTCTTTCCCTGCAGCAGTGGTGGTGCTGAAGTGTTGCATGGAGAGCTGCACCTCTAAGGCATGCCTGTGGAGGTGCACTTGGGATCACCATTTGCCCCCCTGCTCTCTGTTACATCCGCTTTACATGCGCTGTTTGCTGTACAGGGGCACTCAGTTTGCTTGCTGCATCGCAGTTTGGAGCTGAAAGGTGTGTGCTTCCAGAACAACAAAGCACTGCGGATCAGACCTCACTCTTCTGTGCCTTTTCTTCCCAATGCTATATGCACATTGGACCCAGGATGTCTGTTCTTTAAGTACAGGGACTGCAAATGTGGTTGCTAGCAATCGTACATTTCAGAATTTTCTTTAAGTGTAGTTCATGGGTTGTCTTTCAGCAGAGCTGAATTCTGTGTGACCAAGACTTCACTGGCTCTAGAATAGATAAGGAGAATTTTCTTTCAAGTTTCCCATGTTGATGGAAACGAGATCACATTAGCTACGCTGTCATTAAAAAAAATCTTAAAATGTGTAGCCTTGGGAGACGTGAGTTGCTACTGCACTCACTAACACTTCACGTACTTGGCTCTCTCACACTGCATGTCTTCTGGCAGCAGTCTGCTGCAAGGCTGAAGGCTGTGAGCTTCTGTGCAGAAGATGGTCCCATTTACATTCTAGTCATAGTGCAGGGTTTTGTAACCCCATTTGGGTTTTTCCTGGCTTCCATAAAGCTCTGCCTCTTGAAAATTCACAGAGACCCTAGGATAAGGGAGACAGCCCAGAACACGACGTTGTCTGAATGCTCACTGTATTTGTAATATTAGCAGAACTTTTAATTTTGCTTCCTGAGCCCATGCTTCAATACAGCAGTCCAGATGGACATCTGGTTGAAAGAAGACATGCCTGCTGCTAGTTAGATTCCCTCCTGCAAGAGCTCAGGCTGCTGGCAGTGTTCTGGCACAGCACTCGGATGCACACTGTGCAAGGGAACAGAAAGAGAAATTACATTTTATTAACTTTTATGTTTTTTTATTGTAGCCATGAGACGCAGACAACCTGCTGGGATCATCCTAAGATGACTGAGCTCTACCAGTCTTTAGGTAAGACACCTCTAACAGTTGTTGCTGTTTTTTCCCAGTCAGAGAATTGTTAAGACAAAGATTTCAAGAAGTAGTGAACCAAAATCGATTTAAAGCGAGAAGCTGTGATTTTATTGAGATTAAATTTTCTGCAAACAAGTGTGTAAGGCATAATGATTTATTTCAAACATCGAGTGGAAAAATTAATTTATCAGCGTGGTTGGAATGTGCGCTGTATTTACTAAGTAATTTTGCTGCATTGTTGCAAACTTACTTAAAGACTGCAATAGAAATGGAAAAAGAAAAAGAAAAAAGAAATGGTGAATCTTTTCACTGTTTTACAAAAGGCAGATGAAAAATCAAACCAAACTGCTGTTAATGTTGACTTTTGGGTGGTAGAAAGCCAATGGAAGCAATTTGACAAACTGCATTGCCACTGCTTTATTTTTAAAGCACTCAATGCTCAGAACGCATGGCAGCTGTCATGATGTCATTTTGAATACTGAAATTGCACACTTATTATGACTTCAGATGTGCCTCCCTGGTGGGCTTTTGTGTTGGGTTTTTCCGTTTGTTTTTTAAGATTTTTTAGCAGCTTTGGATTTTAGTAACAGAAGCACATCTATGAGATACAGTAGGTCAATCTACACTCTAGTATAGGCTGCTTGGCAGACCATTTAATAGCTAACTATTTGCTTTTAATGGTCCTGTTAATAAGTAATAGAGGATATAATAAAAATTAAGCTATTTCTCTAAAAGAAATATCAATCAATATGCTGCATTCAAGGAGGAGGTTATGTCTGTATAGTGCAAGTACATAAACTGGCTTTTCGACAAGCCAGCTTTAGTACTAAGGCCTTCAAGCCTAGCATTCAGTGCAGGCTTATTTACTATGGTGAAAAATAGCTTAAATTATCTTCTGCTTAAGTCTGTGCTGGCATAATTAGACTGTTTTCAGTAGATAAACTGGTATATTTCAAGCTAACTCATGTATCTCTGCAGTGCCCTGATGCAAAAGTATACCCAAGCTATTTTAGAAACACGATGTGATGAAGTGGAATGAAAGTGTGAATGTTTTTTCCTTGTAGTATTAACACTGTGGCAGCAATTTGTTTAAAAATTAACTGAAAGACAGCTCTGTATATCAAAAAGGAATAGGAGACATGTAAGTTCAGCCTAACAAAATGCGAAAGCAGGCAAGTGTTGACTTGCTATTTAATTATATTATATTGCCCAGTTTGCCTCTTTTATTATTCTGCTCTGAAAGTGAGGGGTTTAAAGGATTCAGGACAAATAGCAGTTGTGCATGCTGACATCTCTTTAATACAGGTAGATCCTCAAAGAGAGTTGCCTGTTAATTGAACCGCACTCCAACTGTAGCTCACTTTGATCCAGAGATAACATGTTATCTCTGATATTGTTGCTGGTGAGACCTGAAGTCCTGTTGAAACTGCTTTTCTTCTGGGATTTCTTTCTGGTATTTCAGCTACAGCAGTCTGGAATAATCAAGAAGTCAAGAGGTAGCTCTACGCGAGGGGAAAAAGTCTCCTGGTGGGTTCAGGTCAACAGTTCAAATGATGTGTGACTGTTGAAGTCAGGTTGCATTTAGTTTAACTGAGATTTTATCACTGTAAGTATCACCTGGATGTCAAGATTTGAAGACATTCTCATTGCTGATTGCACAAAGAAGGGACGTGTTTAGGCAGATTTTCCCTCTTTTTTTTTTCTTCTGTTTTGAAGAGAAAGTAATGTCCATTGGGGCAATAATTCTTTGTGGCTAATCATATTTCTTTTTTTGAGCTGGGACCAAATGCTCGTTAGCATGGAAGCAACACTGATTTTAGCATAGTATGTGTAATGTGTAATAGGTGTTCTTATTACTAAACTTAGGTGTTTGTACATGTGTACAAAGCAGGTTAAACAAACTGATTCTTTGTGCACTGCCACATAGGATAAAGCTTTGAAAAAAGTGCGACTGAATAACCTACCATTTTATTTTATTTTATTTTTGAATTGGGTATATTCATCATTGCCTAACTCTCATATAAATTGCATAATACAAGCATAACCCGTTTAGTCTTGAATGGAAGCCTTGATGTGTTTTCAGTGCTTTTCTTTGCCTCAGGTCAAAACGGTAATAATGGGATGTTTCAAGTCTTTTCAGACTGTTCAGTAATACTTTATCTGAAAAGATATTATTAAAGTCGATTTTGTATTGCATACTCATTAGATCCTATTATTTTTCCCCACTGTAGGATCCAAATTTTGCTTCTTATTCATGTGAAGAAGCTAGTAAGGAGCTTAGTATGTATGCATTTTAAGAATTTGGTAGAAAACATGAATTGTACAATCCAGGTAAATGCAAAAAGTGAGACCGACAACATCAACGCTGTCAAGAATGTTTATTTCCATTTTCCAGCCCTTACATTTAGCCTGTAGGGAGCAATTGAGCGATGAGATGGAGCTTTCTGTACATCCCAGGTACTGACAGATGTGCTGGCTTTCTGTAAATTCATCACACTTTAATTGATTCCAGTGTATTGTAATTTGGTAGGGAATCTTTGTGTCTAATTTAAATTCTTCCAAATTGCTGAAAGCTTAATTTTTTTGTAAGTGAATGAGGAAGACGCAACTAGGAGCAAGACAAGACTTTTTGTAAAAGGAGAAGTAACGTTAGTTTTATTCTTCACATATCCACCTCACACACCTACAAATTGCCACAGCACATTTTGCTGAAATGGATGAATTCCAAGCTTCAAACTTATTTTCCTCGTCTTTGTTTTTAGGGGTGTTTGGGTGTTTGTTAAAATGAAGGTAAATTGCTGTATCTGATCAGGTTGTCAGTCCAGCAGTCCTGTATCCTGTCTCCGGTACGGACTGCATCAGGGAAGAGTCTGCAGGAAGAAATTATAAAATAACCTGCCCACAAAGGAAGGTTTCTCAGATTCTCTTCATGCTCATTTGCTGAAAGAAAGATACTTTTAATAACTGTAAAATACTTCATTTGAAAATTAGTGTGCATTTTGGAAATTTGTAACTGGTTGTTCTTTCAACATAAGCTTTTCCTTTTAAGAAGCTGAAATGCTTTCTCTGGACTGCTTCTCTTTATTATTTCAACAACGTAGCAATTTTGTCGGTTTTAATGAAGCATCTATTGCTGACTCAAGTTTGGCAATTTCACTCTTCATTTAAAGTTATGCTTACTTAAAGTTACATAACGAACCGTCAATATTAAATGACATAATTGTTGTTTAATGGTCAAATGGAATTGGCGATAGGTAATTGCAGTGATGACCTTAGCTGTATCATTTAATTTATCTACCAGATGTTGATACAGATTGACTAGTTATGTAAATGAAGAACATGGTGAAAAAACAAATGCTGAAATAGGAGAGGTGGTAAAAATCAGTGATGTGTGAGTCTCTGAGGTTCAGCTCCTGATAGTTCCCCCCGGTTTGTGCAGTGCTGTTATGAACCACTCCCCTTTTCTCTTCTAACTTCCTTCTGGAAGTCTTCAAAGTACCCGGGACTGCTCCAGTTGCTTTTCTTTCCAAGAGCAGTTCCCCCGCAGCAAGTCTTCTTTCAACACTGTTCTTTTACAGCCCCCTTACAAATTTTCTCGTCCTTCGTGATGGCTCTAGGGCATCGCTGAAATGAGAATTTGCATTGTTTTGTTGTTCCGGAGAATTCAAGGACCTTTGAGACGAGAAGAACAGAAATCAAAGTAGACTGTGATTGCTTTTTTTTATTCTTTTTGAGTTTGTCTTCTGAGAGTGATGATTTAATTGCAGACAGCTTAGCTGTGGATGAGAGCTTTTTGCCTTTAAGCTGAAAATGACTCTAACCTTTGTAGCAGTGGCCCAGGAGAGCTTGGTCTGCTATACCATACTGATAGTGTCCCCTTCCTCCAGCCTTCCTATGGGATGGCAGGATGAGTTTCCTCACCATCTCTGCAAACAGTAATTGCAATAGCAGGATGCAGTCAGGATGCATCTGTTTCTCTCCTAATTCCCCAAGGTAAGACAAGAGGGTGGAAAAAAATCCACCCACACCCTTGCAGACTCCAGTGCACTGCAGCTAGTGACAGCTTTCCATTTAATTTGGAGTGTGAGGGAGGCTGTTCTCCATGGTGTATTTGGAAGAAGTGTCTCGTTTGCTTAATGCAGGGTGAGAGAATGCTGGGAGGTGCTTCTGAACATCCAGATGAATTTCAGCAGGAGCAGCTGTGTTGATCTTGTGACTGGCTGCTCCATAAAGCAGGGTGAGCTACTAGCAATCAGTGACCAAGGAGGATAAACGTTACTGCCCTTTTCAGATTGTGCATTTTGACTTGTGCTGATGAAGAGCTGCCTGAAGAGGTTAAACTTCTCTTTGCCATTTAAAAAAATCCTCCACTTATTTACCACAGAGCTATTACAGTATGTGTTGCTTTTCTCTTCTTTATTCATATTCAACTAATTGATTTACATGTTTGTATATTAAAGAGACACGCATGTCTCAAATCAATTACGTGATTTTACCGAAATCCAAAGAGATGGTACATACAATCTTCTTTAAAATGCTGTTTATCCACTGATACCGCTGATAATTAGAATCTGCATAATAATTTTTTTCTTTTGGGAAAACAGGATTCCTTGGGCACTAACACCCCTGTGTAGTTGTCAGACCTAGAGTACATACTTTGTACATACATACATCTTTGTAAAGTATGTGACTGCATTGTTGGCAAACATGCAGTCAGTACACGTAGCTATGGCAGAGAAGCCATAATTTGCTGATGCGCTACCAGTGGTAGGGATCATTGTGTTTCAAGGACCTCGTGTCTCTTGACAATTAAGCCATAGGTGTATTAGTGAAGGAAGAAATGAGAGTGAGCAAAGTAATGTTCTGTTCTGGAACAGTTAGCCATATGTGAATGTTTTGCTCAAGAGTATTACCTTCTTGGCTTGCAAATGAATAACATTCCTTAATAATTTTGAAGTTGGTTGTTTGCTGTTTATTTATTTCACTATTTCATTAAG